GAAGGGGGAACCCCGAAGGAACCAGAACAGCCGTCGAAGCCAAACCCGACCCGGCGGGTAGACCACCATCGCGAAGTTCCGAAACCGGTAACTCAGACGCCCCACAACAAAACCGAGCCAGTCCCTGAACCGTGGATGAATCGGGACATGCCAATAAGCGTCCCGGAGGTCCAGGGACACCATCCAAACTCCCGGCTCCAAGAGGAGCCGAACCTGAGACAGCGTAGTCATCCGAAAGGAGGGGCAATGAACCCAGGGGTTTAGACAGGACAAGTCCAGAATGAACCGCAGGTTCGCGCAGTCCCGTTTCGGAACCGGAAACAGACGGGAAACCCATCTGAGGGACGACGTCGTTTCGACGACGCCCAAGCGTACCCACTCCAAGACGACTCGACAGAAACCTGCCCTGCCAGCCCCGACCCCCCAAAGGGGGGAGGGGCCACCCAACGCCACCACAGGCCGCGAGACACGACCCGAAAGGCCCACGAATCGTGGGACCAGGCGCGGGCGAACAGTGCAAGCCGCCCCCCCATCACCCTGTCATGGGGGCAAGCCGCGAAAGGGCCGGCGACCCTTACGAGACCCAGAACCCCGCACAGCGCGAACACCGCGCCGACCAGACGAGGGAGGAGCCAACCCCGAACCTGACACCAGAGGCCTACCACGACAAGAGGAACCCCGAGCCCTGGCACGACCTTTCTGGGAAGACCCACCCCGGGACCCCCGGAAAACCAACACGTCCGACATCGGACGACAAGCTGCCGACGCAGCCTGAATAAACTGCGCCACGGCCAACTCCTCAAACAGAAGAGGACAAAAAGGTGAAGAACGCCTAAGAGCCAGAGCCCAAGCAGATTCCACGGAGGAACCCAGCACCGCCTGCCGACACGCGAGACGGGAAGCATAAAACAGGGAAACCGCATCCCGCAAAATCGGCGTGAACAGCTTCAACAAGGCAGCCGACGAACGCGCAGCCGAGGACAAGGTGCCGGACCCCGGGACGGACCCAAGCGTCCTCACATCCTCCACGAGCCAATCCGAAGACAGCTCCAGGAGGGAAAAGAACCGCAAGGCCGAAGCCAAAAGGCCCCGGGCGCGCAAGTCCTTCACAACGAGTGCCGCCGAAAGGGAGGGAACCTGCACATGGAGCTGAATAACGCCCACATCGCGGGGAAGGGCAGGGGCAAACAAGCACTCATTCAGGTACTCAAGCTCGCCCCCCAGGAAAACCTGAAGCACCGTGGAAGCTTCCCGCCACTCCAGCGTGCGGGAACGACAGAAGGAATGCCAGGAATCCAGAACAAACAAGGGGCAGTCTGCTAGCCAGGATGACTCCAGAACCTCGTAACGGAGCCAGAAAGGGAACGAAGTCCCAAACCCGAATGCGGATGGATCCATTTCTGAGGCATGATCCGGGTCACGCAGGAGGTAAGCTGCAAAGGCCGCTCGCACCACACCAGGTTGGATGCGATAAGCCGAAAACCTCCAGAAGGACGGAACCGACGTACCCGGGGGAACACGGAACCGAACCCGGGGAGGGGCCGACACCAAATCCAACTCGTACGCAGAGGGGGGAAAAGAAAACCCCACTCCTTGTAACAATAAGCCCCGCTCAGAGGGAAGAAAAACCCAGGCGGGGTCCAGCAGGGCCCAAGGCCCCCAAGTCAGCCCCTCCCCAGCCTCGAGGTCCTTCACTACAGGACCCGAGGCCGAGTCCTCTCCCCAAGCCCCGACCCCACAAGACAAGGACGGAGCAGCCGGAAAAGCTGGAGGAAGGGGGGCCCACTGGTCAGACCCAGAAGCTTCGGCCGGGAGACAAGACTCGAATGCCTCTTCCGGCCCCCCCGGAAGGCGCACCCCACCGAAGCTGCCCGAGTCTCGAGATCAAGTAACCCCTGCTCCGACCCCGAAACCCTCAGACGCTTCGGGGCCGGAAGCAGGGGGGGGGGGGCCAGAACGAACAGAAGGGGAAGGACGAGGAGGTGCGGACTGAACCAGGATCGAAGCGACCTCCACCCCCAAGTCCGGGTCTCGAAAAGCAAAGCGGGGCAGCCCCGGGGCATCCGGGTGAGCAACCATCTGAGCACGTTGCAACAGACGAAACCGAGACTGCAACGCACGCGCCGCCTGTACCCGAATAGAATCATCAGAGGATGCCACCGAGGAGAACAGTGGAAGGGCAAAAACAAACTGAATAAAATGACAAAACCCCCACCAGGCAAAAACAAAAAGAAAAACAAAACCCCGCAAGAGGACAGCGAACCCTACCAAGCAAACTACTAAAGCTGAACCCCAGGGACGTGTACACTCATGTGGAACTAGCAGGGGGCGCCACCGAGGAGAACAGTGGAAGGGCAAAAACAAACTGAATAAAATGACAAAACCCCCACCAGGCAAAAACAAAAAGAAAAACAAAACCCCGCAAGAGGACAGCGAACCCCAAGGAACAGAGCCGGCCGCGATGTCGGGAAATACAAGCTGAGCAGCACCCTGCGCCCCTACCAATGCAAACTGCCTCTTACCTGCCGGTAACAAGGGAGAACAGAGCACCCAAGAGCCCAACAGGCGGCCGAAAAACCGAAAGCCAAAACGGACCAGCAGAGGCAGACCGCGAGGAGCCTGTGGAAGGTGGCCCCAAGCCCCAAGGGCAGTACTTACAGGGCACCTAGGGAAGGCAGCCCTAGGCGCATGCAGCCCGAATACTGAAGATAACTCCTGGCTCTCGCACCCACAAAACCAACACCACACGCAAAGCACAGTGCAGTAGCGACACCGGAGCCAGAGCACACGACCATCGCCTATAGCATCAGCCTCAAGAACTGAGGTGTGGGTAGCCGGCGTGGGGGGTCTGGGGCTCCCCTTTCCCCCTCCCGGGGAGGGGGGAGCTGCGCAGACAGCGGTGCGGCGGTGTGTGACGTCACACTAGTTTGCTTGATTTCGGTTGGGGAGTTCTATCCACTAGTTCGGCTTTTGGTAGCAATTTTAACCAGAATAGGGGTTTGTTTTGAGGCGCTTACCTTTCTGGGTGCCTGCTCCGGTCGATGGCAGACATAGAATGCTTCCAACCACACGGGGGCTTCTATAGGCCATTGCTCCCCTTGCCTCTCTGAGGGGGCCCGGTTCTGGCCGTGGTCCCCGGTAGGCCTAAGAACTCCATACACATGACTGATGCCAAAGTCTGACATTAGCATATCAGCCTGGGATAGCTCCGGGGAGCCGACGGGGCTCCCCCCAGAAAAGGCGTCCACCGTGAACACTCCACGGCCGGGGAAGGGTGCCACAAATATTGGGAGACACTGAGACCACGCCGATGCGAAGAGGTCCACCTCTGGGAGCCCATATGTCCAGCAGAGCCAACTGAAGAAGTCAGCGTCGACTGTCCATTCATTCTGTGAATAGGGAAATGAATTGAAACAGGCTCTCCACCAGGACATTGGACACTTCCCGGATGTGAACTGCACAGAGAGCCAAACACCCACATAACCAGAAGATGGGCCACTCGAAGCGACCGGCCCCAAAGAAGCATTGACAGCGTCCATGAGACCGCATTCACGCATCCGTGAACACATCGAGCGAGGGCTCGAGTAGGCGCCAAGTCACTGAACCCCAAAAAAACCAAAGAAGTAGCCGGTGATGCAGCAATCGACACAAGGTCCCCGGAGGCCAAACCCAGGGATCGCGAGAGAGGTGGAAGGGGCATCCCCAAATGAACCAGAACAGGTCAAGGTGGGCCAACACCCAAATACCTAGCAGACATAGAAGGGCCACCATGACCGGGTAAATCGCAGAACCGCTAGGTGTCATAAACTGGCCACAGGAAAGGCAATTAAGACGAGAAGCTGCTCTAAGCACATGCAGTCCCGGAACACTTTAGGTACACCTGACCACAACACCATGAACAGCAGAGCACACCACAAAGATGTCCTGGCTTGTGGTCCCGGTAGGCTGGACTCTTTTTATTAATGCCCTGGTTATATGAATTGCATATTAGCATGATAGCTCCTGGGAACTGGAAGGGCTCCCTACAGAAAATACTTATAAATTGTGCAGGTTACAAATAGCCTTTGCTTTAAGAACCCTATCTATCAAAAATTAGAGCAGTGAACCTTATACAATTAATAAGTTTGGTTTGCATGATGTATTAATATTGCCATTTATGTCAAGAAGATTCCTCATTGCTACAAGATAAAAAATAGCAACTTTGCACTGTGGATTTGGGAATACATGTTAAGGATGGAGCACATTAATAAAATAGACAATTACCATATTTATCTATTAAATGGCAGTCAAATATAAAAAAATAAGACAAGAGTTGACTTGATTTCAAGACAACATTTTGCTTGTTACAGTAGAACAAGGGAAAACAAAATGATAATAGCCAGACCAACATGAAAGACGGATGAGATTCCTTCCACTTGAAGGCCTAGAGAAACAGAAAGATGCCATTTCCCAGGGACACAAGGCATTTTCATCAAGCTGAGAGTAATTAGGGACCTTGTGGTGTAACCAGGATGAAGACATAGATACATATTCACCAAGAGCTGGATTCAATTAGGATACACAGTTCTTGTCTCTTGTAAGCAAAAGTTGAAGGTGTCTCAGCACCTGCGATGAAAGGAGGAGGAGGAAGAATAAAAATATTTGGAAGAATGGTTTTCAACATCAATATAAGATACATACTATTTCCTAAGTGACAAATAAAAGCAAAGTTCATTTTATACTGAGAAGAGAAGTAATGCATGAAGGAAAATACCCTCCAACTTGGTGCCCTAAGTGAAAGAAGGGTGAAAAGGAAATCAGAGAGGTGCTTATCACATTGCTTCTGGGTAGAACACCTGCATTGACTAAGGAAGAGGGAAAACTCACCAAGTTGCTTCCCAAGAAGGCTGCCTCAAATCTCAACCTGGAGGCACCTACTGCTCACTTCAAGAAAGCATGTCTGTAGTAAGGGATATTTACCAACACAATCAAGTGCAATAGCTTAGTAAGGCCAATCTTACTTGAAGTGCCTTGTCCCATGAAAACACATAATCTCTTTGGCGGCGTTGCTTCATGTCCCCAATTAATACACAGGATGTTGCTACTCTGTCTGCTGTTTCAGCTCCACTGAGTCTTACATTATCTCTTGTTGCTGAAAATTTAAGTATACAATAATTTTTAAGTAAAGAGCAGTTATTAGATTATATAATAGCATACATAAAATGAAATGCAGCCTAGGGATTAATGAAATTTTTTTACACACAACTTCAATATTTATCACAATATGTATTGACCTAAGAACTCAAATTAGTTATAGAATACAGGACACAGTGAGATAGTCATTTTTTACTTATTGAAAACAATATGTAAAAGTCTAGTAATGCTGATGTCTGATGAGAGCAACCTTCAATTCTACAGTAAGAAGATATGTGTGGTAAATAAGTGTTAGGGAATGGAATTTCCAGCTGGCTTCTAGACTGTGGGAGTGCTTAAACCATTACTGTGCACTCAGACACAGTGTACAGTCGTGCACTCTTTTCTAGATTCTGAAATTTTCCCCGAAACATTTCTTGTTTGGAGTCTATGGGTAGTGTAGCGCCAGACCATTGCATGAAGACTACAGGGGCCACTGAAGCGCATCTGTGGGCAGAGTTACAGTCATTAGGATGTTTTACATGTAAAAAGAGTGTAGGCAGAGAGAGAGAGGAAGCTTGCAGTGAGGAGCCAATGGCTGCCCTCGCTATCTCAGTGAAGCGGCTGGATGTCATGACGTCAACAGGGTCACGTGACAAGGGGAAAGCGCCGAGTGGTAGTGGCCCCTAGGTCTTTGGCATGCTACGCTGTGATTGGTGGAATCAAGACAAAGGGGACCAGCCTGCCCCGGTCCTGCCTTGGCCTGCGAAAATCATTCTGGGCATCGTGATTTTTCAAACTGAACGTGAAGGATTGTAGCTAATTGGCTAATAGTTACAATCTTTATCCTTGCAACGTCAACATCCATTTCTATTCATCCTTTGATTCCCACTATCGTGAGATTGAAGCACAATCCAATTTGCAGGAGTGTGGGATTAATTTAGGATTGATGAGATCAGTAGTCATCAAACACATGATTCAACAGAGGCAACAGACTATTCGTTTTTTATCCATGTTTATTGCCCGCATCGATTGTCATCCATACTATTGATTAAGATACCTGGCAAAGGTGGAATTAGGGAAGGCTCTCTAGTGAATGAGGAAAGCTTTCTGTAGTAATTTTTGGTAATTATAATCCACTGTTTTGGACATTGGAAATTCCACCTCAGTGTCACCATTTCCTCTCACGATACCATACCTAGTACGAGTGCAGCCCATTCCTGTGTGTGTGTGTGTAATTACCTAAGTGTAGTTACAGGATGAGAGCTACGCTCGTGGTGTCCCGTCTTCCCAGCACTCTTTGTCATATAACGCTTTGAAACTACTGACAGTCTTGGCCTCCACCACCTTCTCACCTAACTTGTTCCGTCTGCCACTCTGTTCGCGAAAATGAATTTCGTGTGTGTGTGTGTGTGTGTGTGTGTGTGTGTGTGTGTGTGTGTGTGTGTGTGTGTGTGTGTGTGTGTGTGTGTGTGTGTGTGTGTGTGTGTATAAAACATCCATGAGCTTTGTGAGGTTGCCATCCTCCACCGATTCACCTGGCCGCCACCCTGGGGTCGCATCATAGTGTTCATCATTCAGCACCCCGTGTTCAAACACCTGGTCATCCTCCGTGGTCTCCATAGCCACGTGTAGGAAGTTGGTGAATCTTCAGCTCTTCAGTACTTCAGCTTCAGTGCATAAAAGGGAGTAGATGAGTGAATGTGGGAAGACCGGTTAAAGTGAGTACTCATACTGTATTTATGTATTGTGCCCAAGTCTCTAAAACTGACTCGAAGTCAGGAGTCCAACTGTCGTTGTCCTCGGCATCTGATTTAGGTGAAGAAAGCAGAAGCTGTGTGAGTTTGCACCTGTAATGAATGACTACAGTCTGTGGGGGATGGCTGTCAGTACATCTTTTAAGAGTGTATGAATTACACCTGGGAACACAACTGAGAGTCTGAGGACTATTGTGTATAAATTAGTACAGTTCAGTTACACCGTGCTGTATCCATTTTGTGCCTTGTATGTGTTTATCTCATTGCAGTGAATCCAGGAAGCCACGGCTAGGTAAGGGGTGATTTATGGTGATTAATTTAACTGATTAACCTGTTATGTAATATTGTGTCAGTGCCTTAATTTCTTGGAAATTTATTGCTGTGTTGTGTGTGATATTTGGGCAGTAATTATATACAGTGGTACCTCAGGTTACGAGCGTCCCTGTTTATGAACTTTTTGGGTTACAAGCCCGATTTGTTTGGAAAATTTGAATCGGGATACAGAGCACCACTTGGTTTCCGAACTTTAGTTATCCAAAACTTCCAGTTTCCCGATTGGGGTTGGGGAGTCATGCTACCCGAACTTTGTTCGGGTAGGAAGGGTCCACCAAGCGTCGCGCCGGCCTGTGGTGGTGGGTGGGAGATGGTCCAGTTTGCCCACTGTGACTTCACAGATTCACAGCCTATTATTCATATTATTTTGAATTGTCTTGAGGCTGGAATGTTCCTTCTGTGCTTTTGTTTTACATATCTGTACAATCAAGAAACATCTGTGCACCATGTCGGCTCCAAATGCACGCATTGCGTCAGTGATGGCCGACTGGTGGGTAGATGGATGGGGAAGCTTAGGTGGGAGGCAGTATGAGCAAGTGAGAGAGGGGGAGAATTAGTGAGAAAGGGAGGGAGGGAGAGATGCTAGGAGGGAGGGGGAGGTAGGCAGGAAGGGAGGGAAGTAGTGAGGGAGGATGGGCGAATTAGGGAGAGAAAGGCAGGCAGGCAGGCTGGCAGGCAGAGAGACAGGCAGGCTGGCAGGCAAAGAGGCAGGCAGGCTGGCAGACAGAGAGGCAGGCAGGCAGGCTGGCAGAGGAGGCGGCAGGCAAGGCAGGCAGGCTGGCTGGCTGGCTGGCTGGCTGGCTGGCTGGCTGGCTGGCTGGCTGGCTGGCTGGCTGGCTGGCTGGCTGGCTGGCTGGCTGGCTGGCTGGCTGGCTGGCTGGCTGGCTGGCTGGCTGGCTGGCTGGCTGGCTGGCTGGCAGGCAGGCAGGCAGGCAGGCAGGCAGGCAGGCAGGCAGGCAGGCAGGCAGGCAGGCAGGCAGGCAGGCAGGCAGGCAGGCAGGCAGGCAGGCAGGCAGGCAGGCAGGCAGGCAGGCAGGCAGGCAGGCAGGCAGGCAGGCAGGCAGGCAGGCAGGCAGGCAGGCAGGCAGGCAGGCAGGCAGGCAGGCAGGCAGGCAGGCAGGCAGGCAGGCAGCGATGAATGGGTGTTGAGGTGAACCACATGACCTTTGAGAGCATGTGTGTATGGGTTAGGGGTTGGGGGGGGAAGGTGTGTCGGTGGTGGGGGAGGGACCGGCTGACTCCGTAAACCTAACCATCAACAGACCTGTAACCCAGATTTATTTCTTAAATGTACATCGTATATATTTTTGGCCTGTTTTTTATCTGTCACCTGTGTCAGGTGACACAGATAGTGATGGTAACTCTAGCAGTGTTGACCCAGGGCAGCGTGGAAGGCCAGGCGAGGCGCGTGTAATGTACACACTCTCGACATCGTCCACTGTATTCTCCCTATCACACATGTCAGACCTCTGTGTTAGGTCTTTCTCTGGACTGTAGTCTAAGTCATCGGTAATTGGTCCATCACCAAACAATGTGTCTCGTATTCCCTCCTCTGAGATGTGTTTTGCAACACAGCAGCTGAGCGTGGACTGGGAGCTTGTAGATGAGGCATCAGACTTGGTTGCTACATTGAAACTAAGGCTACCCCAAGGCTGTGGGCCATCCCGGAATTTTTTTTCAAAATGACGGATGATCACTGGAGGCCTCAGGCATCCTTTTCGTACCCGAGTCACCATGTGCTGAGGCAATTTTGCCCTGAGGTGCAGCACCCATCTAGCACCTCAAGGCGCTCTGTGCAGTGTGGTGGTTAATCCTAATTTTCCCTGGAAAACGACATGCCAAATCGTTTAACAACCAGGTATCCATTCACTGCTGGGTGAACAGAGGCTACAGTTAAGGAATGGTGCCCAGTAAATCCTCCCCAGCCAGGATAGGAACCCAGGCCAAAGAGCTCGTGAAACGCCAGGCAAGTGTGTTACCACTTTACCACAGGGACTGCTTTCAAATGTGGTTCTGAAATTTGCTAGTGTAGAAAATGATTTGTAGGTTAAGTGTGGCCTGTTCTTCCTTATTCTGCATTTCATTATATGACATTTGTTTGTTGACCAAACCACATAATAAAAGATGAAAAGACGACATTTCGGTCCGTCCTGGACTATTATCAACTGGCTTGATAATGGTACAGGGCACTCCTGGACCTAGGGACTCCTGAACAAGGGGCTCCTGCCCCCCCAGAAAATAATTATAAGTTAAATTTAAATAAAATGTGTCCTTATTCTTATATCATTCTATCTGTATGTGCTGACATTCCTCTGGAATGTCAATGCTTGCTCTCTACCCCCATGCAGATTAGGTTCCCCTTCCTATTATTTACCTCACACATATGCAGCATCCTTAATCTTTTCCAATCATTACTGTAATTAACAGGCTGTCACTTACTTTCTGTCTCCTGCTGTTTCTGCATCATGATTGCTTGTGCTTCATCAAGAAGATCCTGCAGGAAAACAGTTGTTCCTTTGCGTGTACTCATTCCCTGAATTCGTCCAAATTTGATATGCCTCATATTATCTGCCCAGTCAAAACCCATCTTTCTCATAATGCTAAATAAGGCAACAAAATGATCAGATTGAGAGTTATCTACGACATAATACATTTTCGTAAAATTGTACTTTTCTTGTCTATCTATAGCTCCAGCAATGTCTCTTGAGAGGTATATACTAGACCCATCACTCTTGACAATGGTCACTCTTTGCTTTGGATTTACCTCATACACTTTCCTGCCATCATCTAAAGTCTCTAATAAACCTTTCTGTTCCATTTGATTCAACACATCTTGACATTTTTTTGCTTTATACATGCTTTCACCATGAAATTCATCAAAGTTTACATTCAGACGAGCATACACACGTTTAAAATCTTTTATAGATAGATTTCTAAATATCTCCCATGCTTTAAGTTCATTTTCATCCCCTTGTTCCATTTTATTAAATATCTCCCGAGCTCTATTGCTTATGTTGGGATCCGATTCTGCCTTCTGGTTGGCCCATACATAGACTTCATAAAGCTTTTTTATTGCATCTTCTTCTAAATCCTTTTCTGTCATATTTCTTGCATCATACCTGCCAAACATGATGATGTATTAATGCGCTATATAAATAATACAGAGAAATGGCAGGTAGAAATACTGAAAATCTTCTCACAAAAAAAACAGCATTGAATGTAATGAAATGCCATTTTCTGGGTGAGCACTTGAGACTTCCTGGAGCTATTGGGTTAATATGCAATACATTAGACCAGGGCTTTAGTTAATGGAGTTCAGCCTACTGGGACCATAAGCCAGAACCTGGCCTTCTCATAAAGGCACAGGGAGCAATGACCCTGGAAGCTCCTTTTCCCTGTGGTTGGGGCTTTTCCTTATCTGCCATCGACTGGGATTAGGCACCCAGAAAGGATGGCATAACAAAACAGACCCCACATGGTAAGAAAATTGCAACCGAAAACCAAACAGAGAGGCAGAACTTCTTCAATTCCCAAGGAAACAAGCAAACAAACAAAATGTCACACCACTCCGCCGTGCCGTTTGTCCGCGCTGCCCTCCCTTCCCCAGGAGGGGGAGGGGAAGGGAGGAGCCAAGAACTGCCCCCCCCCATGCTGGCTATCTAGCAACTCCAGTTTAGAAGCTAAGCATCAAAATAATGCAAAAACCACTGACCGGAGGGAGGGAGGGTGCCAGGAAACCTCCGGGATTCACCCAGGTTTTCTGTGGGGAGCCACTTCGGCTCCCTGGAGCTACATAACCATAAAACAAAGAAAAAAGGGAATTACCCGGGATGCGGCCGCTACACACCCCTCAACTCGAAGTCGGGACAACAGGCTGCACCCTGCGACCCAAAGCAACACAAGAATGCCCAGGCCCAGGAATGGTAACCAAATATCAGGCCACCAGGACCCTATTTAACCTACAAAATCCCCGTGCCCAAATATCAGTCCAAGACATGGTGTTAAACACGGCAGCCAATCCAGCAAACTTCTAAATGTCATGGGCTCGACGACGGTAGACAACAGGCTATCTAGATTCAACAACTCTGTGGACAACCTGGGAGACCCGAGCCCTGGAACAGGGAATGAGGAAACTGGATCAACCCAAAGTGAATCCCCAGCCACAAAAGCCAAAGCATGCAGGTAATGGCAAAGAGCTGCAACCAGACACAAGGCATGATGCACCCTCAGCCTGACCAGCATCAATAACTGGAGGACCCCTCCGGAAAGCAGCCGTCCCATTCTTCACCAGAAAAGACGAAGAAGGCTGCAACCGAACACACCGACTACCAGGACTGAAGGAGCAGAAACCTCTGTGCTGAAGGCCAGCATGAAGCTCACCATCCTGACCCCCAGAGGCCAATGCCAAAAGAAACAGAGCCTTGGAAAAACAATCTTGAACTGAAAGGGCCACCATGAACCGAGGAGAAGAAAGATAGAAGAACACCCTGTCCAAGGACCAGGACGGCTCAGGCAGCGCATGAGCAGGCCGGAAGTGAAACAAAGCACAAGAAAGCTTACGAAACTGACCAGAAGTAACATCCACTTCGAACACAAGGTGGAGCGGCTCCACCAGCACCACACTATACGAGGCGACAGTATTAGGCATTAAATGACAGTCCTGAAAAAGCCAAGACAGAAAGAACAAGACAACCTAATCAGACAGAGAAGACAACCTATAAAAAAAAGAGAAACTAGTGGAAAGAATGCCAGGAAACTTCATACTGTTGTCAAGACAAAGCTCTCAGATGGGACACTATCAACGAGGCCACCTGATCACCATACAAATGGTGATAACCTGTGTCAAAAAGACCAGACATGAAGAGTGGAGAAGATGAAACCAGCTGTGTATGGGACTGGCCTGACCAGCTGGATGGAAGAGGTGGAGCCGTGGAAAATGCCCCGGGTTCGGGCACCGTGCAGGCAGCCCCTAAACCAAGGGTGGGCCGGTCACCAAGAGGCCACTAGGACTACTCTCCTGTGGTAAGACTCCAACTGAGCCAGAACCCAAAGCAACAGCTGGAACAGGGGGAAAGAGAAACAGGTAACTCCACCTCGACCAGACATGCCGAAAGGCATCCACTGCGAAAGCCTCACAGTCGAGGAAGGCGCCACATATACCAGGAGATGCCAAGACCATGGCGACGCAAAAAGGTCCACTTCCGGGAGCCCGTACATCTGGTAGAGCCAACTGAAGGAGTCGGTGTCAACTCTCCACTCCATAGACAGGGGAATGAACCGAGACAGGATGTTGGACACTCCCCAGATATGAACCGCACGGAGAGCCAAACCCAGAGAAGCCAGCAGATGAGCTACTTGAAGCTACGCCAAGACCATGCAGATATGAAGAGGTCCACTTCTGGGAGCCCGTACATCTGGCAGAGCCAACTGAAGGAGTCGGTGTCGACTGTCCACTCCATAGTCAGGGGAATGAACCGAGACAGGACTTTGGACACTCCCCAGATATGAACCGCATGGAGAGCCAAACCCAGAGAAGCCAGCAGATGAGCTACTTGAAGCGACCAGCCCAAAGATGCAAGGACCGAAGAGAACACCTGCGGTGCAGGCAATGAACCACTGGGAAACAGTCCAAATGGAGCCAGATAGATGAACCCCGAGCGACCCGAACCCTTCGAAGCACTAGTCAAACCGCAGCGAACACCCGCACCATGCTGTAAGCCCGATGGAAAGACGGACCTTACCACCCTTGGCCGGCCTGGTGAGCACTGGTCATAAAGCCCCAGCTGAGGGATGACGCGTCCATGAACACATCAAGCGAGGGCTTGGGTAGGCACCAAGGCACTGACCCAAAAAACCCAAACAGGAAAACAGCGACGCAGCAACTGATGCAAGGCCCCCGGAGGAAGAACCCAGCCATCACAAGAGGTGCAGAAGGGGCGTTCCTGAATGAACCAGAACAGATGCCGAAGCCAAACCCGACCCAGCGGGTAGACCAGCACGGCGAAGTGCAGACTTCTGAACAACTGCTCGAGTAACCACCGAGTGACCCAGGAACCCCCCCCCTCCTTCCGCAGAAACAGCAGAAGGCGGGACCACAGCCGCAGCAATGCCTCCAGAGGGAGGGACATGCAAGCAGTCCGAGAATCCCAAACAAGACCCAACCAGATCCAAACCCGGGATGGAACCAGACAGGACTCCCTCCAGTTCACCAGGAACCCAAACCTGGCCAGCTGGGAAAAGAACCACATCCCTGGTGAGCAGACAAGCAGACCGGCAGGGAACCTATACCAACCAGTCATCGAGGTAGGCCAGAACCAAAACCCGTAGCAGATGCAAATGGGTCACCAAAAACTTACCCAGTCCCTGAACCCTGGTTGAATTGAAATGTGCCAATACATGCCCCTGAGGTCCAGGGACTCCAACCAGGCACCAGGCTCCAACAGAAGCCAGACCTGAAATAGAGCGGTCATCTGAAAGGAATCCAGGGGTTCAGATTGGACAAGTCCATAATGAACCACAGATTCATAGTCCCATTTTGGCACTAGAACAGGCGGGAACCCCACTGGAGGGACAGGGTCAAGTCGATCAAGCCCAAGCACACCGACTCCAGATGACCTGACGGAGCGCAGGGAAAGAAGCCCGCCCTGTTAGCCTTGAAACCCCCAGAAGGAGGAAGCCACCCAACGCTACCATAGGCCGGAGGACATGACCCGAACGCCCACGAATCAAGGGACCAGGTGTGAGCAAACAGAGCAAGCCTCCCCCCCCCCCCATCGCCCTGTCCTGCAAGGGGACTGGCGCCCCCTCTGAGGGAAAAAAAAAAAAAAAAAAAGCGTTGAATGTAATGAAACGTCATTTTCTGGGCGAGTCCCTGAGGCTCCCTGGAGCTATCCAGGCTGAATAGATATGTTTAGCTTTCTGGCATTAGTCAAGTGCATGGAGTTCTTGCCTACTGGGGACCACGAGCCAGAACCTGGCCCCCTCAAGAGAGGCACGAGTAGCAATTGCCTATAGAAATTTCCCCTGTGGTTGGGAGCATTCTGTCTGCCATCGACCTGGATAGCCACCCTGAAAGGTAGGCGCCCTAAAACAAACCCCTATTCTGGTGAAACTATTGCAACTGAAAGCCAAACGAGTGGACAGAACTCCTCTGTGGGAACCGACCTGTGAGATTTATATTTATTTAATTTATATGAATTTATATTTACGTTAATTTATATACTTCGATAGCAATTTGTATAATGATAAGTGGACTGTATTTCTGCAATAATCTCTTAATCTCACAAATCGATCCTCTACACATTAGGGGGGTTTATTAAATTAATATATATGCAGCCAATCAAACTACAGTATTAACTACATACATTGAAAAGGTTCCTTATCTTATAGTACAGCAGGTTAGTCCACCAGGTATAACTAGGGTGTAGACACCAAATTATCCTCTTTGAGGTAGCTTCCATCACCCAGTAACTGGTGCACAAAATCTTGCTTCCTCGTCTTGACCTGTCAAAAGGGCGCTAACTGTGAAGCCAGATACCTATATATGACAAGCTATATCAGAGAAAATACTATACATGGAACAATAAAGACCTGGCTTAATTACCTTTAGTTTGAGGCTTCCACGTGCTCTAACCGGGTCACCCTATATAATGACATTAATGGCCAAAAATGAAGATACATGGGTTTCGGAAAGAACACTTAACTTGATTTGTAGACAGCGTGTTGATAATGGTACACTTCTGGTTTCCATAACACTACGTCCAAGTAAATTTAACAGGAGCCGAATTTGCTCCCGTGTGAGCCTCTGGTCTTGTATAAACAATGGCAATGTCTAACACTCCATACTACTGACGCCTGGCCGACATTGTCCAGATATGATAGGAGCCAAATTTGCTCCACACGTCTCGGAGGTGACACAACAATGGCTGCCCTCCTTCCTCCCTGACGCCTGGCTTACATTGTCCAGATTTCAGAAAGTGATAGAAGGGTCACATTTACTCTACTTTAATATTGATAATTAAGTTAATTTATATAAGATGTTTTTATGATGGTAAAGTCCAAAGACTAATGTATTTAAGAATAATTCCCAGCAGAATAGCTGGTGAATTTATAATGGTAT